TTTTGAGAATATTTTTTATTATTCTCTCCTCCTCAACTCTTTTAAAAATATTCTTATGTAAAATTCCAGAAAAAGTTGACAGAAGAAATAAATTTAAAAAATGATACATCTTTTTGTACAAAGGCAAAGAGAGTGTAGAAATAAAGATTTAGTGTACGGAAACCTTGCTAATGTTTTTGAATTAAATCATGAATTAGTATCTTAGTGTTTTTCCAGGTTTTTTTTTTTGGACATATGTCTATAAATGTATTCATTAGTGTGTTTTGAGAACTGTGATACCATAGGAAATCACAAATGTAGGAAATTTCACATTGGCTTTATTCCCACTCAGTTCAAGATTCCAGTTAGGTTTTTCATCTTATTAATTTTTAAAATATAATTGTATTCTTTGAATGGGTATGGAGGGAAAGTCCAGAAAACATCTCTCCACAGCCTAGCAGATGGCATTCATCTCACATCTTAGTTTATGCATCTGTTGGCTTTTTTCTCCATTCATATGGTGAGTTAAAGGAAAGAAAATCAGTAAAGGAATGTTTCTGTTCTTGAAACATTTTTTTGAGTAGGTAGACTCTTAACAGTTACCATCCTGCAATTTAGGGAGGTGGTGAGGAGCAAAATAACTAACCTGTCCCCTACAGAAGCAGTAACACTTGTATTAAACTGAGATTTTTTTTGTTTGTCCAGTATTGACACTTTCAGGCAAGTGACAGTTTGCAAAGCAGTCAGTCATGTATGCTAAGTACAATGAAAAGATACATAAAGTACAATGTATTAAATTGCTGTGGTTTGCAAATAGCCAGTTATTTGCATTCTTTGTGTGAAATTATTGGACATTCTCTGTCACATTTATATACCAAAGAGGAAAAAAGAATGGCTAAAAAAATTAAATTGTAGTCTGACTTCCTAACATCAACTAAATTAAAATTTTTTTGATCAAAACAATATGTCTTTAAATGGAAAAGAAAGTAGGAATTGAATGTAATTGAATTTCAGGGGTATAGTTGAGTAAAATTTCAACAATTTACAATGCTAACTTTTTAGTGCTTCTGAAAGCAGAAAGTCTTATTAGTGACAGGCCAGAAGTATTCTAGCTCAAAGAACATCCCTACTGCCATATGTGGTAAGGGTTTGCCACTAACCCACAAACTGCTTCTTTAGTACAGTGAATACGCAGAATTGATCTTTGTCAGGCATTTGTAAGAGATATGAAAGGATGCATTTTTTCATAGTGCCTTTTAAGTAATTTTTATTATTTAAAGAATTTAAGAAGTAAATTCTGTCCTTCAGATATGGATGAGGTTTTGTTTTGTTTTTAATTGAAAGCAATTTAGGATACTCAAGACAAATAGCAGTTTATGAGAATTAAGTAAGTTGGACATAGAGTTTTCAGTTTAGTGTTGGAAATAGAACACTGGACTACATACGGAGGATGTAGGTTTTAGTTACAATTTTGAGCTGTACTATTTGAATAAGTAATAGTTTCACTGAAACTCAGGGAGTTTCATTGTCAACCTATAAAAAAAGAAGGTAATATTTCTACAACAGCCTTACAAAATTGTTGTGAGGAAAATATATTGTAAACCAGTACCACTAAGGTTGAAAAGTGCTCTGATTCCAACTCTTGCTGATCATAAAAAAAAATGACGTCTTATTCCATTTGTACACCCATCCCCCACCTTCCTGTTCACTGTCATACTTTGGAAAAATGGAATCACAAGTCATTCCGCATTTATTTCTTAAGTGTGTGCAGTGTACTATGCTGAGTGGTGTAGAAGATACTTGCGTTAGTTTGGATCCATAATTTCATGGATGGGAGACTTTTTTTTCCCAGTGATACATCATGCTGTCTCATCTTGTCAGTGCCTTTCCATAAAAATCTTCTGTAGTGTAGTGTTCTGAATTCATTTTTAAGCTCCTTGATGTGCAGAGCACTCTGCTGTGCACCAGATACAGAACCAATGTACAAAGATGAAAATGGGGGCAGCAAGGTGGTGCAGTGGATAGAGCACTGGCCTTGGAGTCAAGAGGACCTGAGTTCAAATGCGGCCTCAGACACATAACACACACTAGCTGTGTGACCCTGGGCAAGTTACTTATAACCCCAGTTGCCTCACCAAAAGAAAAGATTAAGATGGCAATTCTTCCTGCCTTCCTGGAAAAGTCGAGAAATACTCTTCACGTATTTATGAATGTCAGCATGCCCCTCACTGTCAGTCTGTAATCCTTCACTCTAGCTAGTCAACCTGTCAATCTCCTTTTCTGCTCATACATCCTAGAAGCTCTGTATATTTTGCACCCAGCTCTACAACAGCTTAGTAGAACTTTAGTAAATAATTTTCTAAATGCATTAAATATTTCAACTATGAAGATATTTGACTAAATGTTGTTACTTTTTTTTCCCCCAGCGACTAAGACGATTATCTACCAAATATAGAACAGAAAAAATTTATCCAACAGCCACTGGAGAAAAAGAAGAAAATGTTAAAAAGAACAGATACAAAGACATATTACCGTGTAAGTTTGAATTGTCTTTTACCAAAACAAATAGAAGTCTTAATTATTTTTATGGCCTTACCAATTTCTTTTTCTGTTGTTCTAGAATGACTAGATTAGATGAATATTCAAGCTTTTGTCTTAAAAGTGCAGTGTTAAAACAGTTACATCCAAATTGAAATGTTGCTTAAATTTGTAAATAGGCTTTTAAACTTTATTCTTTAGTCTTTGTTTACAAAATAATTTTTACCTGATAATAAATTAAGTTTACATATTTTTAACATTAATTTCTTAATTTTCTCCCATTCCCCCCATTGAGAAGGCAAACAGTATATCAGTTACACATGTGAAGTCATGCAAAACATTTTTCCATATTAGCCATGTTGCAAAAGAAAAAAACAATAAAAAATCAGCGCATCAAGAAAGTAGAAAAAATTATGCTTCATTCAGAGTTCATCAGCTCTTTCTTGAGTTGGATAGCGTTTTTCATCGTGGATTCTTTGGAATTGCCTTGGATCATTGTCTTGATCAGAGTAGCTAAGTCTTTCACAGTTGATCATCATTACAATAGTGCTGTAACTGTGTACACTGTTCTCCTAGTTCTGCTTACTTGCTTTTATCAGTTCATATAGGTCTTCCGGGTTTTTCTGAAACCATCCTAATCATCATGTCTTATAGCACAATAGTATTCCATCACAGTCATATACCATAACATGATCAGCCATTCCCCAATTGATGGGCATGTTTTCAATTTCTTATTCTTTACCACCACTGCAAAAAGAACTGCTATGAATATTTTTGTACATAGAAGTCTTTTTCTTTGACCTGATACTAAGTAAAAAAAAAAAAAGTCAAAAAGTAAAATTCTAGTGGGAAAATTCTTTTGTGAAATTCTTTTGAGGCACTTCAGTTAGAGAAGCAAACTATATATTAAATTTTCCAACAGTAAATCTTGGAGATGTAGGGCATAGTAGATATTTTCTTTCTTTTGCAGTGTAGTCTTTTGCAAATTACTGGCTTATTTTTTTCTTATTCATGGTGTCTCCAAGACTGCTACTGCTTCATGTTACCAACTGTATTTTAGTCCTCATTGTTAGGTTGGAGTAGTAAGAGGGTGAGATTGTTGATACATTTCTGAATGTATTTCACAGTGAGTCTTTGAACCTACCTTCCAAAGCCAAATAGAAAAGATTTTCACATTATTTTCTATTTTCTTTTTGTAGGCTTGAATAATGAAGAGCAGGTTATGTAGTATAGTCATAATTTGGTATAATCTGCATGGAGTTTCAGTTTTGATTAAGTTTCTTAGTGAAATACTATAGTAAATTCTTATTCACAGATTTACCACTAGAATGATACCTAAGGGTTAGGAAACAATTTACCTAAATTAAGTACAATTTATAGTATGGCATAGAGAATAAAGGGTTGACCTCTCAGCTAGGAAATTAGTTTCAAGCTCTACATCTGACACATAATAGCTGTGTGACCATTGGTACCTCACTTAATTGATCAGTGTCCCAGGCAAGTCATTAAGAATATAAATTTCAGGACGGGTTGCTGATCTGCATTGTGAGAAGCAGTTTTCTTATATGGGAGTTTCCTATGCCAAAGCCAACAGTTCTTGTGAAAAAAAAAAATACTTACCTGACTTTTTCATTTTTTCATTCTTCCAGTAGGATGTTCTAGGGTCAAGTAGATTAAAGTATTTGAATGATTTAGCTGTTTTTTATTTTTGTTTTTTATGGATGCATACATATTAGATAATAAGAGCAGATTAAAAAATGGGGGAAAATAGCTGAAAGCTTAGAGTATAATTCAGCTGTGTTATCAGCCCTATCTGTATGTTTATCTAGTTTTCAACTAGACAGTTTTGTTTAATTTTATTTATAGGAGACCTAACTACCCTTATTAGGGTAGGGTGCTTATCTCATTGTATTTTTAAGCATTTTGGAAAGACCACAAGGTGTTTTTAAAAGTAGAATTGTTTATACAGTTGTTTTGGTCGTTCAAACTATTTAACCAGACAAAACTGGATTATCCAGTTTTCATGTAACCTAATAGTAATTAGTTCTTAATAACCTTTGAGATAATGCTATAGTAATAAAAGGAGATGGACAATGCTTTTATCTTTTAGAGAGGAATAGGCATTGATGATTGGAAAGTCAGTGAACCTCTGTAGGTCAGGGATTCTTAAACCTTTTTGTGTCATAGATTCCTTTAGCAGTTTGAAATCTATGGACACTTTCCCAGAATAATGTTCTTAAGTGTGTTAAATAAAATACATAGAATTGTAAAGGAAAGCAGTTATATCAAAGTAGTCAACAGAATATCAGAATTTTTTTTTTAAGGTTCAAGGACCCCACATTAAGAACTGCTGCCCAGGTAGTTGCTGGAAAAAAAGGGTTTTTAGAAAAAGGGTTTCGTAAACCAATTTTCTTTCCCTTACTTAAAATTATACCTCTGACTTTTCCTATTTCTGTTAATGGCACCCCCATTCTCCCATTTACCTGTGGCCCAAACCTTGGCATTCTCTTTGTTTTCTCCTCCTCTGCTTCCCCAGTCCAGATCGTTATGTCTTGCATCATTTGTAGTAGTCTCATAGTTTATTCTCATCACTTTGTCTTTCCCCTTGGCAGTTCATACTTCCAATCATTGTTAAAATGACATCTACATGGATAAGAAAGATTTATCTGTCAATCAAAAGCTTTTATTGGTTTCTTCTTGCCTAATGAAATCCAAATTCCTTTGCCAGGAACTCAAGGCTTTCCAAAATCTGGTGCTAATCTACTTGTATAACTTTTATTTTACTCTATTCTCCCAAATAAAGTGTTCACTTTAGACAAACTAAAATACTGAGTTTCTCTGATCTATATACCACAGTTTTGGCCTCTGTCCATTTGTTCATGTAATTCCTAATACAAGAAATGCCCCTATTCTTCATCACCACATTTGAAATCCTTGAGAAATTATGGCAGAGTAGATAAAGTGCTGACCTTGGGAGTTGAGAGACCCAAGTTTGAATCCTGTCCCAGTTGTTGACAAGTTCTCTGATCCTTGGCTGGTCACTGCATCTGAAAATGGAGATAGTAATAGTACCCACTTTGAGGATTTTTAGGATCAAATGAGGTAATATTTTTATAGTACTGTATAAATTTTAGTTATTATTAATATTACAATTAATTGTCCTTCTCTGTACTCTTCACTCAGAATTGATCTTTCCTTAAAAGTCTGTGTGTCATTTGTATCTCTCTTTTATTATGTTTATTTTATATTCATGATCATTTTGTATATTCATCTCTGGTATGGAGTTATAAGCTCCTTTAGGGCAGGAACTATCTTCTCTATCTGTGTCTCTTTAGGACCTAGCACACTTTGCACATACTTAATATTTGATGTAATATTTGATTTAATATCGTTTGTGAGGGTACTTGCTCTAATAATGAGAACAGAAACTTTACCCATACCTTTTCATTTTGTTCTACTCTTGTTCATGGCCTCCTGTAAACCATAGAGGGTCTGTCCATTGTGCTAGGCACCTGCCTCTAGACCACTTGACAGTAAGGGGATAGTGGTGCAGCACACAAACTGTTGATAATATGTTATGTCTTTTCATACATGCCATATGCCTTTTTGTTGGGTGACCCTCAATTTGAATTATTCAGAGACTATCACAGCCATACAATATTACCAAAAAGATGGATAATTTCTTTTTAATTAATTTCTTTTTTGCTTTCAACAATTATTTCCATAAGCTTTTGAGTTTTAAATTTTCTCTGCTTCCCTCAAGATGGCGTGCAATCTGATATAGGCTTTACATATACATTCCTATTAAACATATTTTCACATTATTCATGTTGTAAAGAAGATTAGAACCAATAGGAGGAACCACAAGAAAGAAACAAAACAAAACAGAAGAAAAAAAAAGTAAATAGTATACTTCAATCTGCATTCCAACTCCATAGTTCTTTCTCTGGATGTGGATAGCATTTTTCATCATGAGACTTTTGAAGATGTCTTAGATCCTTGCATTGCTGAGAAGAGCTTTCAAAGTTAGTCATCGCACAACGTGGCTGTTATTATGTACAACATTCTCCTGGTTCTGCTCACTTCACTCAGCATCAGACCATACAAGTCTTTCCAGGTTTTTCTGAAGTCTGCTTGCTCATCGTTTCTTATAGCACAATAGTATTCCATTACATTCATATACTACAGTTTATTCAGCCATTCCCCAATTGATGGGCATCCCCTCAATTTCTAGTTCTTTGCCATCACAGAAAGAGCTGCTGTAAATATTTTTGTACATGTGGGTCCCTTTCCCATTTTTATGACCTCTTTGGGATACAGTCCTAGAAATGCTATTGTTGGGTCAAAGGGTATGCACATTTTTATAGCCTTTTGCGCATAGTTCCAAATTGCTCTCTAGAATGGTTGGATCAGTTGACAACTCCAACAACAATGCATTAGTGTTCCAATTTTCCCACATCTTCTCCAACATTTATCATTTTCCTGTTTTATCATGTTAGCCAATCTAATAGGTGTGATGTGGTACCTCAGAGTTTTGATTTACATTTCTCTAATCAATAGTGATTTAGTGCATTTTCTCATATGACTAGATAGCTTTAATTTCTTCATCTGAAAACTGCCTGTTCATATCCTTTGACCATTTAGATGTTTTTTTTTTTAAAGGAATTTTGTACAGAGGGAAACTTGGAGTCATGATATTGCTTAGTTCTCCAAAGGCAATAAAGCCCACTGTATTGAACAAAGTTACTTGATTGATTCTGGACTTAGTTCATCATCAGATATAAGTACTGATGGATCATTGCTGTGAGTTGTCCTTAGAACTTTATGTCAATTTGTACATTAAACATTCTTCATCTACTTGGTGTTCGTGGATATCATTTAGATAAGGCTTGATGCAGTTAACCGAAAGTAAGCAAAAAAGTAGTATGTAATTATGGTGCAGTAGAAAGAATTATTGGAAATGCAGTTGAGAATCTTGGTTCAAATTCCATCTGCCACTTACCTATATAAATTTGGACAAGTCTCTTTCATCTCTGAGCATCATTTTGCTCAACTATTACAGTTATGACAATGGACTGGACAACCTCAAAATTCTATTCTAAATTCAGTTCCAATCTATATTTTTATGATTTAGAAGCCTTCTTCATTTATAAAGAATCCTTCATCGACTTTGCCTTTGCCTCTTATGCCATCTGACACCTTGTATTTCACGTTTGATGTTTAAAAAAAAAGTATTTAATTTGGAAGAGCACAATGCTTAAGAGTTGACTTTTTAAAAAGATGCCTCCTGTGCATGTATCATAGTTATACAAGGTTCCTTGAAAGATTTAACAATAGAGAAAACTTTGTTTAACTCTCTGATTATTAATATGAATGAAGCAAACCATAAAAATAAAAAATATATATTCACTAAGGGTACTTAATGTTCTCATTTTTTGGGACCATACTTCTGATTTCGTTGTTGCTACCAATGAGGATATTTCCTCTACTAGTGTAAACCAGCAATTTCTCTACGTTTTATCATCTTAGACAGTTTCCTGGGCTAATGAGAAGTTATAATACGCTCAGGATCACACAACCTACACTGTCAGCATCAGGATTTGAATCAAGACCTTCCTGACTCAAAAGCTACTTCTTTCTTCACTATACCATAGCTACCTCACTATTCAAGTGACTTGCCCAGGGTCACACAGCTAGTAAGTATCAAGTGTCTGAGTTTGGATTTGAACTCGGGTCCTCCTGACTCCAAGGCCAGAGCTGTATCCATTGTGCCATCTAGCTCACTATTCTTAAATAATGGGTGCTTAATAAGTATCTGCCAAATTACTTTTAACTTCTTCAATACATTACACAACCAATATTTGGAAATAGTACTTTTTAACTGACATGACCAGTTTGTTTAAATTGATTTTCAACTTTCAAGAAAACCTTGGAGCTTATTATGAAAAGCAAATTCTTTGGTGACTTTCTATTTTTGGTAATATTTGTTTTTTTATGATGAATTCAAGTACGATAAGTTTGGAAACAAATTTGTTGTTTAGCATAACTGACAGTGGTTTAAAGTTTGAAAAGCGATTTACATATATTATCTTATTTGAGCATGTCGCAGTAATAACCCTGTGAGGTAAAAATTAAGTGCTTTACCTGTGGCCATACAGTTAACATTGATTAAATTCCTACTATATGCCAGGCACTGTGCACCAGTAAATGAGTGCTGTAATTTCAACCTACATCTTCTTGATTACAATTTCATTGCTCTATCCACTGTGCTGTATCAGCCTCAGTTCATTCATTTCTTGATTATAACATTTAACATAACCACGCAAGTAAACATTTACTCTTATGTCCAGAATAAAAAAGAAATAGGGGTTGAATTGGATGAAAATAAACTGAGGGGTGGAGAACTAAAAGGAATGCAGTACTTTTTTTTTTTCTGTTACTTTGTTTGTTAGAATTTTCTGTTTGCCAGATAGTGAGTTATTGATAGTGTTTCTTTTCATGGCTTAATGATGTTATTAGGCATTATAATCTGTACCTTTCTAGTGATCTGAGTCACTAGAATTCAGCAGAGACAAAGTATATTGTATTGCTTTATAACACACTGTAGTTGATTTCTGTGACAGTTTATGACTCATAAGCCAAAGGTCTTTGAATTTAGCTTATATACCTGTAGTCCCAAACTTCCTTTCCTACAGAGATAACGCACACACACACAAAACAATTAATAGATACAAAGCCACATTTAGTTTCCATCATTCCTCTGTTGCCAAATTTGGGAATGTCAATACTTAACCTCATAATATTCTGGCTATTAGTGATCCCACCCTATCAGGACTTCCTTTTCCTTAGATAAAATACAGCCCTTTGTTCAGACTCTTGATCCCTTTTTCCTTTAACAACTGGAAATTTGAGAGGAAATCGTTTAGATTTACATATTCTGTGAATAGGAAAGAGGCTTCTGCATTTTTTTGGGAGGTGGCGGGAAATCCATTAAAAGGTCAGTTTTAAGTCTGAATATCTGCAGCGTCAGATACAGTCTTTGTTTTATTGGTTGATGAAGTGCTATTTTAGGTCCGTAAGGTTTAATTTGTAGAGGTGAGTTAATTCATCTCTTCTCCCCATTTCGTTTGATACATATAATGGCAAATACCTCTTCAAGTAACTTTGTGGTTAATAGATGCCTGTAAGAGAATAGATAAAAGCAATAGTGAATCTGCAATATTTATATTGAGGTGTACTCTTCTCACCTGTCTCCCAACTCACACTTATTTGTAGGTTGTTTCTCTTAGAAAGTGGCTACTCCCAAATTCAGAGGGTACTTTCTGAACCTTAAAGCTGTAGCTCTTGGGCCCTTATTGGTTTGTTTACTTTAACAGTCAGCTAGTAGAACAATTAGTTTGAAGTAAAGGTGTATAGTCGGTCTCTATTTTATCACTACACATTTTTCTAATCTTGACCCGGGCTGTCTAATACCTGTATATTTGGTTTCAAGTATTTGGCATTTTCCAACAGATCCTAGAAAGTAATAAATAGAATTAGCCTTTTGCCTTACCAACAACGTATTATTGCCATCTAGTGGTGAAAATAATTATAGCAGGTGTTCTAAATAGGGACTTTTAAAAATGGTATTTGAGGAGAAATGGATTTTGTATTTCTCTTTGGGCAGGTAGGTATTGCAGTGGATAGAGTGCTGAGCCTGGAGTCAGGAAGACTCATCTTTGTGAATTCAAATATTGCCACAAACACTAGTTGTGTGACCTTGCACGAGTCACTTAACCCTATTTGCCTCAGTTTCCTCATTTGTACAATGAGCTGGAAGAGGAAATAGCAAACTAAATAGAGATACTAGAGTAATCTCTGCCAAGAAAACTCCAAATGGGGTCATGAAGAGTCAGACATGACTGAAATAACTGAACAACAATGGATTTTCCACAATTGCTCTTTTTCCATCTGTAGTTTTTGTAGGAATGCCTTGTTTCTCCTGAAAATCAATCTAACGTCCTCCAAAATAAGTAGTAATATGTAATTTCAAAAATGTCATCTGT